ACGTGGGGCAGGTGGGAGTACTTGCATGTCCGAACCTATACAAGTAGCTCCTAAAGCAGCCATGGCCTGACAGGAATTGTGTCAGGTGGAAGTTTACTTCCCCGTGGCGCCTGTTGACCCAGCTTGATACGGAGTTTTTCCACTCCGACTGCCATCTCGCAGTCGACACCGCTCACGCGTTGTTGCGCACCCCTCGAACGGTCCTCGCGTCATAGCACACCACGTCCTCCTTAATGATGAGGCCGATTGGCATCATCCCTGCTATGACACAGACGGCCTCCCCCGAGATGGTGCGGTATGCACTGGCCACCTTCAAGCACATTAGCCTGTGTGTACTCTCTAATTTCCGCCTGTGACATTCAATATCCAGTACCGCAGCCCACGCAGGGCCACCGTATCTGAGGATAGATACTACGACCCCAGCGAGGAGCCTGCGCTTACTGGCATTCACTGCCGAGCTGTTTGACATCATGCGGGATAATGCCCCCACAGCCGTAGACGCTCTCTTGCAGGCGTACCAAAGATGAATACCCCCTCGGTAGAGATGAAATTTGGCGCACTTTTTTATCAAAACAATCACACCAAAATCAGAGATGTCCCATTTTTTAATTACTCGATTAACAACTAACCGATTATTTTTTGTTGGCTGTACTGTCATTTTTCCACCAATGAGAGTGCAACACATGTTTAAAATGATCGGTGATGATCCTCTGGAGAAGTTAATGCTTATATCGGCATGATATAACCGATTACAAATATTTTACTTTTCGGTTCGTTAATCGATTAATGAATTCGAATGAAAATCGGCCATCACTAGATTAATGTGAAACGTCATTTCAAATATAAGGACCGTACATAAATAATGATACAATTTGAAAGGGACCGGGGATAGTTGGTAGGGGTATTCCCCTTCTCCGCGCATATAGTGCACCTCGGCGGCTTTTGGCAACCTCGCGCCTTATGGCCCTCCGAGCCGCACCATCTGCAAAGTTTGCTCCTGTCGGTGTTCTTACAGTCCCGAAGCACCTGAAGCAAGCCATAACCGGTCGGGGGATGCTCACTGGGCAAACCGACCAGCCCACTCGTACCCTCCCTGTGGCTGCCGCCTTTCTGGCATCAGCTGCCGGGAGCATGACGGCAGCCGCCTGGGTGGAGAACAGTCCCTTCCTCAAGGTAACCGCTGTTGGCGGTACCTCGATTTGGCACTACTCCCTGAGCGCCTTGTCCAGTTCGGTCGCCTCTGTCACTTCATCTAAGTCCTTAACCTGGATGGTGATCTTCGAACCTAGCGATCTTACCTGCACCCCATTTCCAACGACTTCGTTTGCCAATTTTTGGAAAGTCGGTCCTTGGTCTCTAGCGCCACGCTTAAACACCAGGAGCATCTCGCCAGTGCGAGTGCACCTGACGCTCCTCACGTTATTGCCCTCGACAAGACGCTCGTCAGCTCTCATCTTCCTCAAGACTTTCGCGTACTTCGACGCTTCCGTCTTCATGATGAGAGCCTCGCCCATGTGTTTGTTCCGGGCAGTGCTGCTCTTAGGGGCAGTTTTATCCGGAGGTTTCGGGGGTGTCGGGGGCTTTGGAGGAGCGCCCTTTCCTATTGTGGGCCAATTTTGCGGCTCATCCACTGCTGCCTCGGACTGCTCAACCACGGCCACACACTCTACCTGGGCTGAGAAATTCCGTCTCTTACAGCGTGCCATACCCTTTACTGGCGAGGGTCGGTTTCGCTTCTGCCCTTGTGTCACGGCAAAGTGTAGGGCCTCGCTGGCCATCGTACTGTTGCCTGCGAAGTTGAAGGCGTCCGTCTGGGTAGACTTCGGCTCCCTCTTCTCCGCCCTCTCGGCGACTTCCAGTCGCTTTTTTAACCGCTTGTGGTCGTCTTGGGCCTCGTCCACCGTTGCGCGGAGCTGTCGCAAGGCCTGCTTGAGGTCCTTTGCGATATTGTTCCGCGTACTAGTGAACTCGATGATCGCATCGAGCTGACCCGCGATAGCCAGTATCCTAGAGAGGGCCCCAAAGCCACTCATGGCTTTTATTAGCCTGGGCCCATCCATAGGTTGTTCCTCTGGCTGTCCGCCGGTCTCATTGGTTGGCTCTACGTCCAGCAAGAATTCGGTCGCTTGGAGTCTTTATTCGAATCCTTGTTAGAGTCACTGAGTGGGGGAGATCTCGTAAGACCACCCTTCGCGAACGGGTTCGCGGTCGCCTCCTTGGCGACTTGTTCTCTGGGGGTTTGGGTTTTGGAATAGTCGCTGATTGATCCCCATGGGTGCCTATGCAAGCAGTGAGGTCCATGGCGAGGGTTTACATAGGCCTTCATGGGGCGTTATGTTCAGAGCCGGATCGCGTAAGACGGAAATAACTCAAACGAACCTATTCCCACCGCAGTCTGCCAACTGGGTGGCACGGAAGGAACGTATTCTAAGGCCTGCCAGGGTTTTATGGTACGGAGACGGACAAGGCATTAGCTCAAACGTCGTTTCGGTCGGTTCCACCCGACGGTACTAAGAGGATGAAATACCTTGGTCGCCAGCCCGTAGCGTGGTTTGTGTGAAATTTCCGCTCGGTTTCCTACATACAGCCAGTGTGTCAGTTAACATACTTGCGATCTTACTGACATCGATCGCAAGGTGCCGTCTGCCGCATCCCATCGTTTGTTGTTCGATTAGCCGACTGGATCAGTACCGCAGCACTGGTGGTAGATCGTTTCCAGGGTGCACCACGAGGAGGCGAACAGCTCCACACCCCATTGGGGTGAGAAACAAGCACGATTACCACTACACCACCGGCGCCGGCTCGAAGAACATCAACACGTACGATATTGCTAACGCTCATTTTCGGCAAGCAAAACAAAACATTTGAACTGTGAAAATAACGGGTTGCCAAACATACAATTATTCCCAAACAAAGTCAGTTCGATGACTGGCACTCTCTGTCAGAGGCGGGATGTGCAGTCAAATCGGCCTACTGAAAATCCATCAATGAGATGTAAATGTGTAAGCCTCATTGAGTGTGTCATCTCTTTCGTTCTCCCGCTGTTTAAACGGTTGAAGGAGTGTGACGTCAAACTCCGTCATCCATTTAATCAGCCGGAGAACGAAAGAGACAATACATTTACTGGGCCTAACCTGTTTACGCTCATTGATTTTCCATACGTGAATTTGGTTCCACATATCGACAACCCATCGTTGCTTATGCCTTTGTTGTCGTTTGGAACCAGTTATGCGAGGTAGGCGACGATTGTTTGTATTTGACAGTAACCTCTCCCCCCAGCTTTCGGCACAGCGCGGCACACTGATATATGTATATCGCTATCGCTATTACTATTATAAGGAACAAAATGTTGAACATTTATCATCGAAAGAAGCAATAATTAAAGAGAAATTACCGTTTTTTTATTTTTGAAAATTTCCATACAGCGAAACTGGTTTATTCAACACTGGAGAGGGTACATCTTTGATGGTGGAAAGTAATACTCAATTATCGACAGGAAAATTGTCATCGAGATAGACTTATAACATGTTATCACTGCTCAGTCTGTCCAGTGTTTTACCAAGTTTGAACTAAACAATGCAAACGCACTGAGCGCATGCATGCAGTGTAGTCAGTGCCTGCTTGAAACCTGCTTCAAGTTGAAACCATAGCAAGTCATGGAGACGCATGGTTGTCTACTGAAAAGCTACTAGCTCAGGGTGCTCTTGCGTTATGATTCAAATCACAGCCACATCACAGACAAACAGACAACAATCAACTGCAATTCACCGAACAAGCCAACATTTTGAACCAAACACTAAATAGCCCCTCTCCACACCAAAGTAGTCTCCATTCACCCCCATATCAGCGCAAAGGCAGGCATAGTTTCGTTGAATTTTCGCCTCCCTCTACCCTTACCAACACAGGATATGGGAAAGAGGAATACAAGAAGCAGCAATCGATCAACGTGTCCCATATAAGTAGGTTTCTCCTGTGGGATGTATGAAGGTACCATCACCCAGCACCTAGATAATGAGAGAGAAAGAGAGCGAGAGTTCGCTTGATTGTCGCCGCCGGAGTCGATTCGACCGAAACCCGCCGTCGACCGAAATCAATCGTTGCGTAGTCGCGGTCTCAGTTGGACGTGTTTTTTCCGCAATATTCCCGTCAATCTTCCCGCCCGCCTACTGTTCTATACCACTTACTATTATGTAGTCCACTCTGGCCATGGGTTGTGACTGAATTCGAGGGATTTTACCAAGCTTGAATGAAGGAAACATTGAATGGTGTTCAGGGGATTTGCCTGGTCTAGAATGGGACAGTTCGGTCGGTGGTGAAAACAGAAATAAAATCTGCGACCAACGTCTCTTATAATAACCAACGGATTAGGAATTTTCAATTCAGCAAAGTGCACGAGGAAAGCAGCGAAGAAAGTTGTGTGTTTACTTTGAAAAGAAATTAAGTGGGATCAAGCAGGCGAATGAAAAGAGGGCTTTTCTTCGATCAAGTGAAGCACGGGGGCTTGGTTCCGTCGAGAGGTGAGAAAGCTTGTGGGGTGCGGCGGCCCACGAAGAGCAAGTCGGAAATGTGTATAGCGTAGTAAATTGAGTGTGTGTGGTTTGGGGGTGGAAATGAGAAGCATCTTTCAAAAGGCGAGGGAAACACATCCTCTTGCATCAACCTTGCGGCGGTGGTGGCAGACTGGGTGGAAACTGTATAGTGGGAGAGAGCTTTGGTGAGAGACATCCGATACTCACCACACTCTGGTTGTTTGACAGTTTCGTATCACCCCCGCCATTGCGGTGGAGCAGCAGCAGCAGCAACAGCAGCCATCTTGGATTTTCGATTCTCCGCTGTGTGAAAAGAGAATGGAGTTTGAGCTGGAGCTTTCGCTCGCTCTCTCGGGAGTGTGAAAATTGCTACACATTAATGTTTTATGTGTCGTTTTTTTTTTCTCGGGTGCTGCTTCCTGAACTCGGTGAAAGAAACGGATAGTAGGACAGTAGGGAAAAGTTGGGACGTTCGTCCGAACGGTAGAGGCTGCAAATGCAAGAGCAGCAGGGAGTTTCTTTTGGCATTCTGGGGGAAGCCAAGCCAAGGATTTTTTGTGTGTGCTAAAGAAGCAAACGGGACAGTTGGAAGAGCAATAGTACGGAGAAGAGAAGAGATCAGTTGGTGAGATCCTGAAGGATTCCAGAACAGACGGCAGCAGCAGCAGCAGCAGTGCTGTGCGAGATGAGCGCGAGATAGTTTCGATTTTAGTGGGTGACACCGTTTTCTGAGATCAGTTGCACAGAGTGTTTGAATGGGAAAATGGTAGTTTTGGGCTGCTGCTCGATGTGAAGTGGATTATTTTCCCAGTGTCGTTTGATAATGGTTGCGGTTTTCTGGGACGTGGTGAGAAGAAAACCCACAATGTGAGTCAATTTCAGTGAAGATTTTCGCTTTTCGCGACGTGGAAGTGGCCAACTTTGATGATTGATTAGGGCTCCGACCCATTTTCCTGCGTGAAAAGATCCCCCCTGTCCCGAGGCACAGTCTAGCAACCGTGGTGAAAAAGTGCCCTCCAAACGTCATTTCCATCAACAAATGGCTACCGCCTGGGCTGAGAAGTAGTAGACTTTGCGCCAGTTGAAAATAGTGGATTTTTTTCCCTGAATTACATTTTTTCTTAGACAGAGAGCAAAGTAATCTGAAAAAGTGAATATCGATCGCTTTTCCCGTTCGTGGGGGGAAATCGCAGTGAAAAGCCGAAGGTGGACACACGAACGAGCGTACACGAAGAAGAAGACGGCACTACGACAGTCGCAGCCAGAGGTCGATGACGGAAGTCGATTTCGAGCGCCATCCCCAGTGTTGCACACAAACACGTAACAACCGCACACGTAGAACATAAGCTCCCGATTGCACAGTGCACAGAGTGGGCCTGACAGCGGGCGGGTGGCCGTTTGGAGGAGGAGGAGGAGGAAGTGTGACACACATGTATGTAGGCGCGCGTAAGGACGGTCCGTCTTCTCTGGTCATAGAGCGTGGTGAAATTAGCGAAACTCACCACTTGCGCCACTATACACTTTACGCACGGGTTGCTCAGAGTAGTAGGCCAGGGATTCGCTCGCTCCCATCAAAGCAAGCGACGCTTTATCACCGCCAACGGAGGAGAAGGAGGCAAATGTGCATCGCGTAAAAGCTCCGTTTCACTTACACACTCAGTGACACGAAGAAAAAAAATCCACCATGATAAGAGGACGCAAGTCACGTGGGGAGAGAGAACTGCAATAATGGCGCGTAGCAAATTACGGGCACCGCACAGGAACTCATTATACGAATGCAATCGCACAGGGAGAGGGCCGGAAAAATTGTGATGCACACTACTTTTTTTTCCAAGCGGAACAGTTGATGGGAAAAATTCCAAGAATTCCACCCACAAATCGCGAGAATCAAAATTTGTGCCTTCGTTGGGTTGAGGTTGAGGTGAGCGTACGTGTAGCAGTGATTGGTGAAACGAGGTGAGGTAAGCCAATCTGACAGCTCGTTGCCTCCCGCTCGGGAAAGCGAAAGTGACTTGACAACTTTTCTTGTGCGTTTTGGATGCTAATGGGACTGTCAGTGGCAGTCCCTAACATTTTTAATCTCTGCCTCTTTTTGCGGTTGAAGATTTCAGCATAATATCCTCGTCTCACCATCTCTTCGTCCGTGTTCTCACCACCACCATTGCCATCCGGCGTCAAGGCACACTGCTTGACATGACAACCGAGGGGTATGCATAAGCTAAAAAAATCCCTCTCTTCATAAATTAGCAAACTAGTAGAACGAGCTGAAATGCGTAAACTTAACAAGTGAGATACCATTGTGTGGCAGTCAGTTTTAAACGTGAAGAATCAGTGAAAATGGACCCGAATGCGGCGGATGAGCCCACCACCATCAGCGTGCAGCAGAAGCGTCAACGACGCAAATGTACAATTCCTAAAGTGATCCGTTCAGTGTCCCACGCGGTCAATGAATCTCCTCTGCGCTAATCGGCAAGTATCGGTAGTGCCGGAGGAGCAGCAGCAGCAGCAGCAGGGGTGGCAAACAGTGCGCAAGGGGAACTGTGGAAGGTGTGGCCGTTATCGGCGGACAATCGCTACACTATTACTACGGCGACTACGACGTCAGCGGAGGCAAAGCGAAACCGAAGGCGCGGCGGCGGAGGAAGAGTTACGGGTGGGACGGGCATCATAGCACGGCCACCGATACTCGACTGCTAGCAACAGCCCGCCAGCAAAGCTAGTGGTTACCCGCGCCCGACGTAGACTAATGCAGTGGAGGAAGTTTGCGCGGCTGAAAACGACTGCTACTGGACATTCGCGTACGCGGAGAATGCTTTGTTGTGGCCGCAGAAAGGTAAGTCCCAGTCCCAGTGCCCCGCAAAAGTTTTAACCCCATTTTTTTCAGTGTGCGGTTTGACATAGGATGTCGAAAGGAAAACCGCAGCAATAACAAGGACGTCAAGCTGTACTTAACTCCGTTCCGAGCGGGGTGGATAGGTTAGGGCCTGCAGGGGGAAGGAGGGCGTGTTTTTGTGGAATGTACTTTTTTGTCACGCGACCATTCTGGTCAGTTTGTATACCTACCAACACTGCAGACATGTGATCGAGGGAAAATAAACTCACCACAATTCTTTTTCCGGTCTTCTGTTGATGGCAATCAACTTATTTCGAGTTTACACAGCTGGGAATGGTAGTCGATGCTTGCTCACGGGCAGTGAGTGACGAGATGAAATTTTGGCATTGTAAGTGGTATCGATGTTGAGATTTGTGGTCTCCAAGATGCGAGATGATGATCGAACTGCGCCATGATTGAAATCATCCTCGCATTGCGCCTTGTGAACGGGGCACTTACAGTCTATATTACTATAGAGGTAACTCTAAGACTAGAAGGTCCCGAAATAACGTGCTCAACTTTTTGACTCAGCTCTGGTACTCTCTTCGGTCCCAAGCTTATCGATTCACCCCTTGAAACATAGGAAAATCCACTAACCCCTCATTTTATCTGTCAAACTTTCATAGCGAATCAAAACAAACATTGTGTAGTAGTAGAATTTCGACTAGAATGGGATACGTTAATCGTTTGCTTGGGACCAATAGGCTAGTCAAGTAGTGAGCCAATTTAAAATCGTTAGTTTCGTATTGATTGTTGATATTACCGCGTATCTTGATATCAAACGTTACACATGTTATTTCCAGTGAAAACTAGATGCATGGGTGCTGATATCAAGATAAAACATCAATAGGAAACTAATGATTTTCAATTACCTCGCCACTTGAATTATGGACTAATTGTCCCAACTACGTCATCTATGAATATCCTCTGATCTGTCATGAGATCCGTCTTTATGACCTTTGTATCTGTCAGCGCGCTTGTTTTGCACTTTGCTAATGGGCGATCTGATCCGAGATTTCGAAAGGTATATTTCACGCTATTTCAAAACAACCCAAAATGGGTAGAATCCACTGATTTCGGTCAAAACAGAACCCTTTGTTGGGGAAACTAAACAAGAAAATACAAAAAGATCTAAAATAGGTGACAGGTTAGATAACTCACCACCCGCCCCCTCCACTTATTTCTTTCTAAATCAAATATTCAGGTTTTAGAAAATTTCTCACGATTCTAAATCTTGTCTGAGGGACTGTCCATTAGACTTAAGCTAAATTTGAAATTTACACTGAGGCAAATAAACATAAGAATTTCATAAGGCTCAACTTATTAACGACACATATGGACTTCTTAAGAAAAAACTTTTGAATGATTGTGTAACATGAGGTAGGTCTTATACGCCTTTAACCATTTCATTTTTCCAAGCGTTGAAAGACGAGTGGTGAACACACAGACCCCGTAATCTCAACGTCCATGGTTCGGTTCCAGGCTGCTTCGTTTTATTTTGTTTTGTCAATATTATTTTTCATAAGGCAAATCGATGAAATTCATACCGATTCCTTTTGTCGAAATTTCATAAGTGGTTCTTATGGAATTCAACCCTTCCTTTGCCTCAGTGTACGCTCCACAGTGCTAAAGTGGTTCCAAATCAAGGGGTGAGACAGCTTTACTCTGAGTTCCGTTTTTGCAGCGAGTAACTCAATGTACCTCAGAATTAAATCGACGTTCATCGATTTACTGTCTGTTTACTCCTCGGCTTACTCCTTTTACCGTCTTCATATCGACAGTGAGCATACATAAAGGCATATACGAGATGATCGATTCTCTTAATCGATTTTCTATTTGCATTGCCACAGCTAAGCGAAACAATTTTCTAGAATTTGTTCAATGCAGAGTTGTAACGGGTTGTATTGGCTATCAAGAAGCAACAGCAAACGTTAATTCTAGCAAGCTATTAACAAAAGAGAAAATCGACGAAGAGAATCGATCATCGCGTTTACGCCCTTATGCATGCTCACTGTCGATATATTAGGTGTCAGTCTTGTTTGTAAACATAATAAAATTCTCGCGTCACTTTTCAATAGGCCCTTTCTGCATTGATCGATCCTCTTAATCGACTTTCTCTTTGGATCGTCACGGCCGTGTTAAGATATTTCCGGGTATTTTGGACACCCACATCGATGGAAGACGCAACAATCTAGCATCTAATACGACAAAGACGGCCGGAAATGTTTTTGTAGCCGAGTTATTTACGAAAGAGAAAGTCGATGAAGAGAATTGAGAATTGAGAGAATGTAGATTGGTCTATTTTAATTCGGAGTAGGTAACCTGAATGACACGACAAGAGCGGGATGGTCAGCATCTAGACTGATCAGTGGCCGGTAATACGAAACCATTTGCCAGGACAAGATCTAGCAAACGTCCGTTTCGGTTGGGAAAAGTGTTTACTTGACTAAACCCGTGTAAGTTAAATCCGTCCAAAAGAGTACAGCAAACCACCAGCATATGCAATAGCAGTGGGTCAGTTAATGGTGTGCCGCTGTCGGTAAAGCGCCACTGTAAACCAGCTTGGTTGTTGTCGCCAAATAGTAGAGCGGGAGACCGGGGACTCAGTCGAAACCTAACGATGATGCTCACGGATGATCGTGCAGTCGGCAGGTAGATAGCGCCAATACTGAGAATGTTTTGTGGAAATTCCACGACAATTCCAGCAGACTGGAAATGGGCGAGATACTTAGGTAGCAAGTGATCCGAGGTTGCGATGCATAGATCCGGTCATCCAGTCCCGTTTCCGTCAGTACGATCAAATTCAACAGCCAAGAAAAACGAGTCGATTTTAGTCCTCAGCAAACGCACTATCCCGGGATCTGGAAACCGAAGGAAATTTAGGACCGAAAGTTCAGAATTCCAACCATACTCGCCTGGAGCTGTAGGCCGAAGGTTCCCGATTTTTGTTGTTGTTTTGCTTGGCAGCAGCTTTTTGACTTCGCACCTCCATATGTTGCTGTGATGCGAAAAGTGAGAAAGCAAATGACAGTGATCTTGCTCGCTGAGCAATGTGAGTTACTCGAGGTGCCTCAAAAGCCCCTTGGATTTAACATTAAAAAATTAGCATTGATAACATCACATTTAAAATTGGGCATGTAACATTTAACATTTTACATCCATCATTTAACGATTACCGATTGACATTTTCACTTAATATTTAAAATTTATTATTCAACATTTAACATTTATCAAGAAAAATTTAAAATTAAACAGTTAAAATTTAAATTACATATTTAACATAAATAATTTAAAATTAAAATTTCAAATCTAAAATTTATAATTGGTAATTTACAGTCGAATTTCGCTCGTTGGGCTATCTTTAAGTGGGCTACGTTTTAGTTGGGCTCCTGTTAGTTGGGCTGTGGCCCACCTAAATCGAAGTCAAACGTCATTTCTGACAATGCAGATGTATTTACGAGGGGCTTATGGATGAAGAATTTGGATAGTTGCTAAACGATTTTGATGATAATAGAAAATCGAAGTATCCGCGAGCAATTTTCAGCTTTGACAGCTCAGTCCAACTAACGAAAGCCTTTCACTAAGTGGGCTATCGGTATAGCCCAACGAACGAAAGTTGACTGTATAACAAGGGGTTGGTCACTCTACACAGTGTGCCAAACTCAAACTTGGGCACCCCCGGGCGTCGTCATTGACGCTGTTTGGCACCGATGGTTACAATTTTTATGATATTTAAAGTTACTGGCAACACTGAACTTTTTCTGGATGTGTCAAAATGTGTTATTGATGTTGCCATAATATAATCAAATTATTTTCAAAACAACCGTGAATCTCCACCAAGTCTCGCCATGGATTCTCAAAATCGTTACACCCGTGACGGCAGTCGCATCCACATTTCCTCCCAGACGAAGAACAGATGACAGCGGTATCTTGACCTGACCGAGGTTTCCGGCCATGGCTAAACGAACTAGCGATGCAGCTCTCACGGCTGCGGCTGCTTCCAAATCTGCTGCTGGTCCGTCATTTTTTTTTAATGAATTTTAGAGGAGACGGACCAGCAGAAGGAACAGCAGCAGCAGCAGCAGCTAAAGTAGAAGCAGCATAGGAAGCAGCCGCAGCCGTGGGAGCTGAATCGCTAATTCTTGTAGCCGTGGCCGACGCTGGAAATCTCGGGCCGGTCACGACAAGCGGTGCTTGAGATTTAATCGGAAAGTCAACCAAACAAAAACTATACCATCCGACCATTCGAACTGCTCGAATACATTCATCGCCACCGCTACTACACCACCAGCACTTCATGATGGCGTTCACCGCCAGGGCTGCGCTCGGGAACTCCACCAATCCGGAGGAGGAAATTTCCGATATCAGCGGGAACATTCGCACTTGCACGAGTGGCAGTCCTTGATAGTGAATGCAATCAGCAGCAGATCCTCGGACGGCATACGGGTGGGGTATCGAAGAAGTGGAGGCGTTGTAGACCTTGAAGCTGATTGAATTGTGCGGCAGGGTGTACGTTCGACTGGTTCTACAGCGATGGCGTTCCCATCTAGACCATGGCGGCACCGCGATGCCAGATTGTTTTAAATCGTATCGGTATCAAAGGTATAAAAAACCGGTATTTATCGGTATTTACTATTTATTTAATTTTATATTTTTTGCCCTTTTTGAAAGTGAAAATTTTAACGATGGGATTTGAGAGGAATTGCTTTGTTTGACTGCTTTCTCAGTCTTAAAACACTCTTTAATTTTTTTTTAATTTAATTTTTAAAATAATCGTTGTCTTCAAGTGGTGATCAAAATTGTGACCAAGTTTTTTTTCAATTAGATATCATGAAATGACACCAAAATATGGAAAATCAGCCACAACAACGACTAAACTATTGACAATAACGACAAACAATATTGTCACTTGAAAAGAGCCACAACCTATGGCCGAAATGTCGGGCAGATTACATTATAGT